CTGCTGCCAGCTAGGTGCCTTGAACCACCTGACGCGGCTGTCCCACGCCACCCGATGGGGCAGGCATGCCCGGCCACCGGGGTTCAGAGCCGCCTGGCAGTGAGACGAAGGAGCGAAGGAACTCCGGCCCCGCCTGGAGAGTTAGGCGGCTCCTTCGCATCTCACCTTCTGCGGCCGCCTTTGGGCAAGCTGTCACCCCTGGCACACTTGCTCGGAGTGCTCGATCCTCCTCACATAGCTGCATCACACTGGAAGTTAACGGACTGACGGGTAGCTCAGCGCCGACGCAGGGCCTGGCACTGAACACACTCGGGAAATACTGGAAGTAAGGCTGTGGCGAGGCTCGCACTCCGGGCCACTCACAAGGACCATCGCCAGTTCCCCTGCTGCACCCCAGCTCTGCTCCCCACAGCTGCTCCGCGGCGGATTTTCCTTCCCGGAACCCACCGAGTGGCCCTGACCCAGACACCACACCGCTGGCCCACAGGGGAGTCGGCTTTGGCCCACACTAACTCGGCAGATTTTTCCTCAATCTGAGTTAGGTGCCGACATCCTAACAATCTAGCTTCCACATCACACCCGGAAGAGCAAAGGGAAGCGACCACACTGTCTCGCACTGCTGCACGGCTAGGGGCCAGCACGCAGTGCCCTGCAGCCCACCAAAGGCTCTAGACTTGGCATCCCGGGCAGTGCCCAGACCCCACATCCTGGCGCTTCTCCCCGTACCACTTTGCCCTCCGGTTGGGTTTGCTCCCGTTAGGACAGAAGGTCACGGGAAGGAACCCGGGAGCCCACTGACACTCATCAACCCTGCTCAGGGCACCAGGAACGGGCGCCAGGTTAGGAGACGACTCGGGTCGAGCCTGGCCCTTCCTCTTGCCCCATCCCCCACTTACTGCTTATCTTGTTGCATTGGGTCCTTTCTCACTGCTGAGACTCAGTACCCAAACCCAAAGGTTGAAGAGGGGGCCTCTCCCGGCCACGCCCCCAGCGACCAGCTCCTCCAACCAGGCTTCGCCTCCACCGTCACAGTCGGCTGGGCTGTAAGCTCATCAGTGGGCTCCTCCACCACTGAGTATCAACCCCGTGATCCAGTCACCTTCCAAAGTCCAGCTATGAGCACATGAGGCTGTGCGGGACACCCGGATGGAAACCAACACGTGTGCTGCCTCTGTCCGGCTCTCATGCTTCCGGGAGAGCAGAGACCAGAGCAAATGGGTCAAACCAGGGCACGCAGCACACGCGCGCACTAAGGAGGCAGGATCCTCGCAGCCTTGCGGGGGAACAGGCTCCAAAGTGAGGCCCAGAGACCGCACCAGCAGAGACTCGGAGGGGCTTCCGCAGGGAGCCATCTGGAAGGCCTGGGGGGCTGGGGCCTAAGGCAGCAGGAGAACACACACACACCCACCCCCCGCAGTTCCGGCCCACGTGGCCACAGACAGAGGCACCAGCTACTGCTGCAGATCTGCATCCTAACACACTTTAAGCCGATATCCTCCAAAATAACTGTATTTATCAACCAAAAATTCTCCAAGCCACTGAACTAAAATACTGTTTATATTATAAAACACGAACAAATACGGAAATTAAACAGGAATGCAATTTTACAGCATTACCAACAGCAGCTGTATCACACTGAAATTCACTGACAGGACGCTCAGACCTGACACTGGGCCTGGCACTAAACACACTCGAAAATATCTGAAGGCACACTACCAGCGAGGCATTCCCACACAGGGCCAGAGACCAGCCACACCATCCTGCGCCACCAGAAGGAACCAGAAAGGTCTGGTGACTGCTGACATGGCTCCCGGCCCCTCGGACTCCCCCTGGGAGTCCCCACCGCTTCCCCACCATCACTGGGCAGGCCAAGGGCAAACGGGTGACCTCGGGACCCCCAGCTTGGGCAGGCTCTTCTGTGGTCTCCATGACCCCGACCCTGTCTCCCACCGCTGTACCCTCTGTCCAAGGCCTTGTGTCTTCTGCTCACCACCAGGTATGAGACTAAGGGCACAGGCAGGCCTTGGTCACCCACGGCCGCCACAGCCCCCAGAGTGGGACCTGTGCAGAGATGCCCAAGAGCACACGGACAAGGCCTTCTCTTTCCCTCTTTCTGGCCGGGCTAGAAAGAAGCTCCACCTGGCCCGGCCTTCCCTGGCCCATTCAGCAGCTGTTTCACCAACCTGCTGGTCCATCTGCCAAGCTCACAGTCCGTGCCCAGCCAGGAGAGCTCCTGCCGAGGCAGCACGTGGCCCAGTGCCAGCCCCTTGCTGTCCTGTAATGTTAAATGGGCCTTGTAAGTGCCTGGAGGACCGGCCCGGAGCAGACAGGCTGCTAATGGGCAGGGGGTTGTCGCTGGCCTGTTTTCCCCACGAGGACTGCCTCTTCCTAAGGGGCTATGCAGGAAGGACTGGCCACACCCTGCAGGCCCCAGAGCCCCCAGCACAGACCTCGGCACATTTCCAGTATTGATTCATTTCCCACTTCAGAGCAACAACACCCACCAACATGGCTCAGCGACAGCTCGAGGGGAACAGGCGCCTTCACAGGCACATAAAGTCCCTGAAGTCCTAAAAGCAAGTTTCCAGGAATCAGCAGTGTCCTGGCTTACAAAGGAAACCACCCAACCCAAAGGTGGCAGCCCTCGGCCCAGGTGATGCTGCTTGCTGAGAACCTGTCTAAGAATGAAAGGATAAAGTCTCCTGGACCCAGAACCTTTCTGTCCCGGACCACAGTACTGATGCTTCCCTCCAGCAGACCACGAAGGAGAGGATGATGAGGTTTTTGGCTTTAACCAGGGATGCATGGTATCCAGGGCAGCATTCCCTGGGCACTGGCCAAGGGGGCTGTGCTAATCATTTAAAGGTTTTAAAGGTTTTGCCAGTTATTAAAAAGGTACGACGATGATGACAAACCATGAGTAGGTGGCCTCCATTAGAAAACTTCTGAAACAATTTGCAAGAGAGACCGCTTTACAAACTCTTCTTTATCACGGAGCACAAAAATGGTGTCTTGGGAAGCTGGCCTGGAAAAAAGGCTTGGTTTCTGCCTTTGTAAGGTCATCCCTCGCCGCCTGCTATGAGCTGTGTCTGCTGCCATCTGACCAGGGCACAGCAGTGGGCCTCCTCGGGGTGACTCCCACTCCACAATGGCCCGGAATTAAAAACTGTGTTTGGAGACTGTTGCCAGCAGAAGCAATCTGAGAAGTCTGAACATTGTTTCTCTCTTTCTTTCTCTTTCTTTTTCTTTCTTTCTTTCTTTCTTTCTGTCTGTCTTGAATAAGCTGGCTGACAGAAAGTTTCTCATAAAGCAAGAGGCCGTCCTGAAACCGCTTATGCAAGGTCAAATGAAAGGAGTCAATCCCTTAATCCAGGGAGCGCATTCTTTTGCTGCAAAGAGTCACAGCCTCCACACCCTCACCTTTGTGTGAAAGTCTGACCCTGCGCAGCCTCATGTCCACTCAGTGCCAGCCCCCTTGAACCCCGGACCGGCTCTGGAGCTGGAGACGCCAGGGCCCTAAGGACGGCTGCACCCTGCACCGAGGGCACTAAACCCGCTCCAACTCCACATCGGCTGCTCCAGTCCCAAGGGGCCCCAGCGGAGAATGTGAGGCTCAGGACCTTCGGTGAGAGCCAGAAACCTTACCTGCATTCGATTTTACTTTTAACAAGTATCCACCCCCCAAAAGAAAGCCCAGCAGTGGTCTCAGTTAAAGAGACCCTTCCCCACCTTCCTAGACCCAGGCAGGTGGCAGATCACTGTAGGGCTCCAGAGCAGCAACCCAAATACAGCGTGTGGAAGACACTTGCCATTTCACCAGACAAAGCCCGGGCGGCGGGAGGTCGGTTTCCACAACGAGGTCGCAAAGGTGTTAGAGAGAGGCCAGCGGGGAGGAAGCAGAGGGCCATTTGGCCACAGCCCCCCACCAGCCGGGCTTTTTTCTGAAGTGTCTCCTTTCAACAGGGAAGCCTTTTAAAACTACATTTGCTTTGGATCCCTACCTGAATGACAATGTGTTGGGATCCGATTTCACCTTTTGTCAAGGACAGGGTGAGAAAGGGAGAGGGCCGTCAGCATCTTAGAAAAAGCAGGCCCTCGGCTTCCAGAGGAAGGAGGAGGCCCCCAGACTCCTCAGCCAGCCCCAGAGAGGAGCTGGGGTGGCAAATGCTGCCTAATCCCAAGAGCAAAGCCCCAAATTGCAATGCACTCAGTCGCTTTTACTTAGCACTCGGTGCAGGAACATAACTGCTTGTGCTCTGAAGAGAAAAGAAAACTCAGTTTCCACCTCCTTGAAGTCACTGCTAGGAACTCGGCAACAGTGAGTAAGGAGAAGGCGCATATGGAAAAAATTATAACTGAATCTAAACCTGCGCGACCTGCAGAGAGAGGGATAAATGACGGATCTCACAAGCTTGTCTATTATTATGCAAATGAAGAAAACCCGACTCTATTGCACTTCAGGGCCTGGTGTCTGCAAATAATGTAAAATTACCTTGCAAGCAAACGCTCTACTCCGCCTCCCTCTCCCTTAAATTCAATGCATCATTTTTTTAAAACCCAGTCGTCACCGGCACAGGGAAAAAGGTCCGTGGAAGCTGCTTTGGGAAAACTGCATCCTTCTGGGAGGGTCGGGGTGGGGGGTTAAAAACACAGAAAGGGGAAGGCGTCGGAAATCTCGTCCCACGGCGGCCGGAAGGAGCCCTCGCGTGGGCGGCGAGGCGGTCACCGGGCACAATCAGAAGCCGACGGAGGCCCCGCTGCTCCGCTCTTTCCCGCGAGGTCGCGCCCGCCGCTGCCACCGGGCGGGCCTCCCCGGCGCGAGGGCTGAGGCCGCGCGTGGAGCGTGGCCAGGTCCCGGCGGTAGCCGGCGCGGGTCGAGCAGGCGGCAACAAAGGCGGGCCGGGGCAGCCCAGGCCGGGCCAGGCCGGGCCGGGCCTCGGGGCCGGGCCTCGGGGCCGGGCCGGGACGGGACAAAGGGGAGCGGGACGCTCGGCTCCTACCTGCATGGTGACGACCCCTAGCTCCTCGGCCGCCAGCCTGCGCATCTGGCCGGCCAGCACGCGCGCCTCTTCCAGGACGGAGAAGTCGGCCTCGGTCCCCGCGCCCAGCAGCGCGCACGCGGCCAGGCACAGCAGCCCGAGGCGGGGCCGCGCCGCGCGGGCCATGGTGCGCCGGGGCCCGCAGAAGGCCGAGGCGGGGGTGTCTCCGGGTCCCGACGCAGGAGGCAGAGGCGGGGGACTCCCGGTCCCCGCCGGGACGGGCGGCCGGACACCCTCGCCCCGCGAGCTAGAAAGCGAGCGAGCGCGGGCAGAGCGTCCAGGCCACCACGCTGCGCCGCCGCGCGCACTTCCCGGCCCCGCGCGCGGCGATTTATGGAGCGGGAGGGGGCGGGGCAAGGGCGGGGACACCGGGCGGCCCCGCCCACACGGACCCGCCGCGCCGGGCGGTGCCGGACGCCGGACCCGGGCCCGCCCCCTGCTCGGGCCGGGCGGCTGGGACCCCGGGCTCTTGCCCGCAGGATCCGCCAGGTTCCAGCATGGTGGTGTCGCCGGCCCCGTCCACGCCCGGCCTGCGGGGTCGACGGCAACAACAGCTCCCCCTGTCGTGACCCGCGCCCCGCCCCGCCCCTTCACCCGGGACGGCGCGGGACGCCAGGCTGACCCGAACTCGAGGGAACAGAGACTGAGGCCGAGGGAACAGAGACTGAGGCCTAGGGAAGCGGAGTGGACTGCGGGTCACCCAGGGGAGCGGTCAGACCCAGGACGAGCACTAGCCCTACCTTCCGTCTCGCGTGGAAATGAGCCATCTGATGGCATCAAAAGCAAAAACCAGAAACTGAGCCAAACCGAGCTCCACCACGCCCACCGTCCTCCCAGGCCCCAGCAGAGGGGTGGCCCTGACTCCCGGCCCAGCCAGGCCACCAGGGTCTCACCTGTCGGAAGCTCCTGGAGCAGGTGAAAGGTACTGTGTGTGCGTGTGTGTACCTGTATGTGCGTGTGCGCGTGTGTACGGCAGCCTTGCTCCCTCCCCCAGGCTCTGGGTCCGCTGTCCATAGCTCCCCTGCCCCAGGCCACGTCCTGGAAGGGGTAGCAGGTCTGGAACCAGGCTTCCTGCTCTCATTCCTCAGAGAACCCTTCTTCATTCTCTCGTCCTGCTATGTAAGAAACTCGTCTTCTCCCAAAGCCGACCCTGGCCCGTCCTGCTCATTGGAATCATTTCTCTGCTCGGCATCTCTCAGGCACCGCGGTCTCTGCTGCTGAGTAAAATCTTCCTTCTCTTCTCCGCTCTCACTGCGCCCGTGACAGGGCGTCTGCAGGGCCACTGGGGACCTGGGAGTTGGCTTTGTACAGCAGGACTGCGGCGGCTCTCTGAGCCCGGGCCATCCCTTCTCCACACATCGTCCACACGAGCACATAGTAGGTTCTGCAGAAACGATTCTCGAATTAATAACAGGAGTAGGACCTATAGGGCTATCTCCTGGCCTGATAGCTGTGCTGGTAGTCACTGGCAATAATTCTAAACGTCTGTGTTTCGCTGCTACACACTTGCACATGATAGTTAATCGCCAAGATGAGACATATTAGTCCATGTGGTAAATGGAAGAGCAAAACAAAACAAGAATAACTGCTAACGTTACTGGTTGTTTTGTGTTGGATTCTTTGAGGTCGCCATCACTTGCCAACACGCGTCTCTCCACGGTTCTTAAAGTCCTGGATGGCTTCTCCTTCATTGCCCACCCCTGATATTTGGTGTCTCTTAGTTCTTGTTCCTCGGGGTTCCAGTCCTATGTACTGTTTTTAACTCTAAGGTTCTTTTCGATCATTCATCTGCCCTCACGCTTTCCACCTTCACCCCAGCGCTAGGGCATGCTTGTAGACAAAGTGCAGCCTCCCCAGAGCTGTGTCTGTCTCCGCCTCTGCTGCTCAGATGCTCCCGGTGGGTAACCCAGAGCCAGCCGCACCTGTGCCAAAGCTCCCACTGCTTTCTCTCCACTCAGTCCGCAGAGACCTGTGCGACCTCAGGCCTGGGTGGTGCCTGCCGCTGTCCAGGCTGGGAAGCTCGCTGTCTGTCCACCCAGCCCAGGCTGTGAGCGCAGCCTGCGTGCACAGGAACCCGTGTCCCCCTGAGCCTCCACTCTGTCCACCGCCCTGTCACTCCAGTGTCTACCCTAACCCCCTCGAAGATGAGCTCTCCTCGATGAATTCCCAGCTCCCTGGTGGTATCAGCCCCGAGGGCACTGTCCTGCTTGTCAGAGCCTTACCCTGCTCTCCACCTGTCTGCCCTGTCACCTAAGCGTCACTTCCTCAAGGCCTGCTGTGACACCTACCTTGTTCCTCCTTTGATGCCCCAAGCTCCTGGTTCTCCTGGCACTGAATATACCCCCCCCCGCATTTAATTGCCATTGACCACTTGACAGCCTTGTGTTCTCCCCATGACGTTTCTCAGACTGCAGTCCACCAGCCACCTTAGCCTCGGTGCTCAGGACATGGGAGGAAGATGGGGCCGTGATTCCTATCATGTATGTAGCAGGAATGTTCAGCCACAGACGTAACACACACACACTCAGACAGATGTGCATATATATCTGGCTACTATGTCACAGGTACAGAGCTGTGTGTGTACGGTGTGTGTGTGTGTGTGTGTGTGTGTGTGTGTGTGTACGGTCATGTACACACACACAGTTACCAGCAAGGCATCTAAGAGTGTGGTGGTCCTAGCGGCTTCGGCCCCAGGTCTGGATCCCAGCAGCAGTGCCTACGAGATGTGGCGCTTGTGCCATGCATGACTCTCCTCACCTTCTTTCTTCACGTGCACCATGTAAACTGTGCCAGCCAGGGCTTTGGGAAGAGACCCATACAGCACCTCACACAGCGCCTCGCACGGCGCCTGGCACACTCGGGGAAGCAAAGGTGCATGAGTAAGAAAAACAACCCGACACAGGGCGGGAGGAGGACCGAACTGTGGCCTGTCACAGAAACTGTCGCCAGGACCCCAAACAAACTGGACTCTCATTACAATCCAGTCTCCGTGGACTAATGGGCTCTCCCTCCTCATCATCTTCACCTGGCTCTAAGGGTCAAGTCTGAGCATCGACTCTGTCCAAAGAGGACATTGTCAGCTGTGCAACTATTTGAACTGTGAAATGACAACACCAACAACAAGCTAATGAGAGAGTCACAGCGGCCCGGAGCTCCACAGCCCACCCTGGGCCTTGTCCGGTGGCCCTGGCTTCTCCCTGGGGCTCCTGCAGCCCTCAGCTGTGCCCAAGTCACCAGCCGGCTCCTTGCCTACTTCCTCTCTGATGCCCGGCAGTGCAGAACTGCAGATGTTTCCCACCCTCGTGCCTCTCCAGGTGTGCCCTGTCCACCCGCTGCAGGACCGCTGTGCACCTGTCCACTGCCACGGAGTCAAGCACAGTTTCACACCCAGGGGAGAAACCCAAGAAATGCTGGGCCAGAGAGGGAGGAAAAGACTGGGAAAAGCCAAGAATCAGCCCCACGCAGGAAGCCACACTCCCGCCTTGCTCTTTGGCTGCTAAGGAAAGGACCCAGGTGACCTCGTGGCACGGCCGCTCGTCTGTCCTGAAGGCAGGATGCCACTCTGCTGTCAGGTCGCCTGGTGGGACTCCTTGGCAAGTTGTTCCCAGAAAAAACCCCTGTCAGGGTGAGGAACTCAGGCCGACTTCCCAACACGGGGTGTGGGAGCCTCCAAGCCTCCAGAGGGCCCTTTGTGTGCTCCGCACTGGACGTAAGGCCCAAGTGAGCCGCAGAGGCTCGGCATGGCACTGCTTGGAGCAATAGCTGGCTGCAGACTACCACGGGGACCCGGGAGCTCAGGAAAACAGAACCAGGGACTCCCAGAGCAGACATCAGCACTCGCTCGTTAGCCTCTAGCAGACTGCAGTGTGATTTATTGTTAAATAAGTGGAAATGGTCCAGACTGAACCCAGAACAAGGCCTTCCTTGCTTTCCACATTCCTCCACTTCCATGTGCTTCCCGACCAGAGCTGGGAAAGGCGGAATGACAGTGATAGATGTGAGACTTTTAGATGGCACCACAGGTTGAGTGTTACACTCAGCACACAGCCTATCATTTCCTGAGCTCTTACTGTGTTTCCTATACACGCTCAGATAAACCTCAGAACAGAGAAGACAAGATTGTTACAACTTCATACACGGTGAGCCAGGGATTTAGCTCAGTGGTTCCGCCCCCTGCCTCACAAGCACAAGGACCCAAGTTCGATCCCTGGTACCAAAAAACAACTTCATACACGGGGAAACTGAGGCTGGGGAAGGTAAAGGAACTTGACTAAGGTAGGCTGGCAAGCAGTGGGTCTGGTCTGAGAACCGGGTCTGTGTGACTTGAAACTCAGTGCTGCCATTCCTCTCAGGTTCCGCTCTGAATGCCCAACAGGAAAGGGAGCTGTCATAATTGTAATAACTGGTCATTTTGCTCGGTGCTGGGGATCTAAAGGTGAGAGAGGCTGGCTGCTCTGAAGAACTTTACAGTTCTGGGGAGGAGGAGGTTTTAGGACAGACAATGTCCCAGGCCTTTGGACTTGAATGTTCTTCCTGCAGACGTCTGCATCTCGCTGCCATGGGGAACTGCACAGGCTCGGGGGCTTTGCTGGGTGCCGGCAGGCGACAGACACCCAGGTTAAAGACCAAGGGCTCTGCTGCTCAGGCCGTGGCAGGCGCCAGAGCATCAGCACCCTGCCCGAGGGCCAGGTGACCCTGCCTGCATCAGGTGGGTGAAGGAGAGGACCCCCAAGTCTAGATCGCCCAAGTCTTTATAGTGAAGTCTGAACCAAAGTGCCCTTTGCCCTAGGAGGATACATCTTTGGGTTACTGGACAGAAAGCACACTTTTTCTTTGCTTTAAAGAGAGACACTGGCTCTACCTGGAAGGCCATTCACTAAACAGACATTTCAGATAACACAGTCCAGAAAAAGTGCGCGTGGTCCTTGCTCACAGGCACACACTAGTGTAAGAAACCCAGGGGACTCCCCACGCCCACCTCCTCCCTCCCTTCCTGGTCTACTGGGGACAGAACTTGGGCAGCCTTCCGCTAGGGACCCCAACCCTGTCTCTCCCCGCACCACATCCTCTGACAGAGTACAGGTGTGCTTGCTTCTTTTCTTACTTTACCATCTGACAGATTATCTGTTTGCTTACTTATTTTGTTTACTACCTAACAATACAGATGTGCTTACTTCTTTTGTTTCCTTTAAGCTCCACGATTCAGCTTGATTTTCCTGGGCTTTATCCACATGTCCTCAGTGCCTATCGAACAGTAAGTGCCCAAGAAATATCACTTGAGTTAAAGAAATACTCTAGAAAGCTCAGGAGAGG